GTCTCTCTCAACCCCACTTATATGGCCCATCCACTTATTTACACAATTCTGTGATCTCATTTCCTCAAATTTCGTCTGATTTATTAAGGTTTTACGTATTTGGTATAGTCGCCTCTATTCTAAAACTTGCCTAAAATATGCTATATCCGTGTCATCCTCGGAGCCTATAAGCTTACCGGTACCGAAGGAATATCGGTAAGCTTCATAGCATAAACAGCGTTAGCCAAGTGATGTGAAATTTTCAGCCTGAAACGCACATAATACATGGTTCTGTTTACATAAGTCAAAGGTAAGTGCCCCAAACCTTGCATGCGTTCCGAAAAATGATACTCGAATTATATTATAAATTTGTGATTAATGGCTTGGTGACGAGAAGGAAAAACATTGGATCGTCGAAGCTCGAACCCACATGAACACTTACACCTCAGACCCAGCATGGTGAACTGCACATACAAAACAGTTATTTCATTCAGTCACTATCCGAACACACTTGCACCTTTTCGAAAGGGCTTTAACTAAAATTCAGAGTATTCACTTTACACTTGGCCGGTACAATGAAAAACCACGGTTACATCAACCAATATGAAACAATGACAAGGGAGCTGTTGATGTAGGTGCTCATTGATGAAAGCGCTGCTTTACAAATCTTGACAGACTGCAACGTAGGCTTATGCCGATGTGGAATGGGAGCCAATTAAGTGATATCCTTCAAAAGCCAAAACAGACGCTAGCGAGTCATAAAAAAGCGCAGACGACAATGCGCTAACTACCAGACAGCCCTCACCTTCCATGCCTTGGAGACAAAGAAAAATAAGCATAAGGTGCTTTTTTATCACGTCCATAGGTGTGTTTCCTCCGCCGGCCTTCAGGCTAAGCCGAAAGTTCATTAGGGTAGTCTGCAATTCGCTGGGGCTAAAGGTAAGAAAATTAAAAACATAATTAGTTACCTTAAACATGGAGTTTTGTGGCTAAAGCTTATAAAAAAACAATTTAAATAATATTGGAGCAGATTAAACAAACTAACCTCACATCCTTGTAAAATTTGAGAAGGAAAAGCATAGGATCAAAATCACTTTCCGTAAGATAAACCGAACCGGTCACTAGAAGTAAAAAGAAGAGGGGTGAAACAATGGAGATCATAAGTCACAAAAATAATAGATCCACAATATAAAAGCCGCGCCAGTAACTAGACTATAACTTCATGAGGCAGATACATAACTATAAGAACGAGTTAAACCGTGCTGTAGATAACACAATTCTCGACAGAAGTTGTTTAACCTTGTTTTCGCAACTTGATCATATTAGTAGGAAGACTTAGAGGAACGCACCTAGCCCGGAGTACATTGTATGCATGAGCATTTCCAAAGTCAGACCGTGGATGTGACACATTCCCATACGTTTAGCCGGCATCGTCAGTGAGTCTTGCCAGTCTTAGCACCACACTACAACTCGTCAAAGGAACAAGTGGAGCCGATCCTTTGACCAATTGTCTATTAAACAGTCGTGGTATCTCTCCTCCCCCCTTGGGTTAATCACCAATCCGATATCCTCGTAGCACATCTTTACTTGCTCATTTAAATGTGGTATGGTTTGCCCCTTTGAGCGGCTTTCATGAAAAATCTTCCCACCGCACACTGGCATTCTCACCCATCTTCACCCTTGTGCTAGAAATGTTGAACAGAGTCTACCATATTGTTACGTCGTCCTCCTTCCCTATGTCTTATCAGAGTCTCCCTCTTGCCCCGTAGGATCCGTCTGCTATCCCCGTGGTTCAAGTATTTCACTCGACTCCTACCATCCCAACTGTACTACTCGAGGCGTTAGGTCCCACGCTCTGCATCTGGGATACTAACTCGAGGCTAAAGCCCCTGAGTAATTCTCATGGTCACGTCTATGCTGAAACAGGCCTACTGTCAGCCAACTAGCTCTAGTCACCGCCGCGTCTATTCTGTTTCTATCCCTAATACCAGGTCTATGACTTAGTATGTCCAAGTGTCTTGTGTGCCAACCCACAAATGTTGTGGTACTGCTTGCTTTGATTAGGTTCAATGTTGGCAAGAGGGAGACTCTGATAAGACCTAGTAAAAGAGGACTGTGTTACAATATGGCAAATTCTGATCAACATTCCCAGCACAAGGATGAAGGGGGGGGGAGAACGCCAGTGTGGAGTGTGGAGTGCGGAGGGTTCTCATGAAAGCCGTTCAAAAGGGCACACCACACTAGATTTAAAAAAGCAAGGGAAAAATCGTAACAGTGAAGGTTTGATACGAGGATATAGGAAAGGTAAATAGCAGAGGGCAGAAGAAGAGATACCACAACTGTTTATCACACATTTTGTCAAACGATCGGCTTCACCTGTCTGACGAGTTGTAGTATTGTGCTAAGAATGACAAGCCTGACTAACGATACCGACTACGATGCCGGTGAAACGTCTGTGAATGTGCCAAGTACACGGTCTGACTTTGAAAATGATCATGCATACAATTGACTGCGGACTAGGTGCGTTCCTCTAAGTCTTCCTACCAATGTGACCACGTTGCGAAAATAAGGTCAAAAAACTTCTATACAACGAAAGGAGACTGCGACCACACAAAAGGTCACACTATCTAGGTCTTCATATCTACAAATCTCGACAATTTACATATAGAATTGTGTAATCATAACTCGAATAATAACCCATTTATGCTATTCGAAAAAGTTGTGGAGGCAAGGTGACGTTAAATATCAAAAATTTAAATTCATATGTTTAGCTAGGACAAAAATTGCCAGTATCTATAAGAGGAAGCTATCTAAATCCAAATTAAACGCAATCACATCATTTGACCAAAATAAATTTTCGAAATGAGCGTGATTCGAAGATAGTAATAACTCTCAAATAATAAGTTAGTAACCGCACGACGCTTAAGAAAATTTACGGACCGGTAGTGTACTTTTTTCCACAATATATAACCATGTCCAGCGATGCCATTTAAGTTTACTCAGTCATATTGCCCCAGAAGTTCCTATTCAGGCTAGATTACGGTTTATACCTCGCTTAACTCTCGCCAGCACATTTAACGGGATTCAAAGACGGGTTATGCACATAAAGTATGGGAGCATTACCGCCTCAAAACGACGTGTCAGTGGGTCAAAGGGCCAATGTGACTCCGAAGGCAGTTGTCGCGCTGATAGGAGGTTGAGGTAAGGTTGATTTTACACTATAGGCTAATGATGAAAGCCTATTGAGGTATAAGCCTTGTGTGAGAAGCGTTACCAATAATCCTTTAATCACCCTAAGTGACAGGTTTACTCAGGTATTATGTAAATGCATAAAGTTTAGATAAGGACAAGCAATAAAATGGGCATCATTTGTCACCAACATTAGGGAATTGTTTGGAGGCTTAACGACATAACAATGTTTGGAAAAATAAGCATTATTTTTAATTAATTATATATAGTTTATTTATCGGTAGCTTAGCAGACCAAATAAGATTAACCTTAAGGCCAATTATAAGAAAGAAGACAAACCCGGATAAATTTTACGCAGGGCTGCATCGGTCACGGGCAACTGAATCCGCGCCATTTCCGACATAGGAAAACCTGTCTGTGGATCTAGCTCAAATGAGGCGGTCAAAATCGGCGAAGTAAGACCTCCAACAGACCCACCTTCACCGGAGCTGCCATCAGAACCGTGGCTGCCAGAGCCGCGTTCAATCAAGGCTGGGCAGTGACGACGCTCATCTTCAGGCCAATAAGTGACTTGCTCCTGAGGACCTGCAGACAAGTAACAAATAAGAAGATAAATTTTAGTCATTCGAACTAGAGGAAAAAAGATTCTTGTGAAGAGGATGAAACAAATAATAGGCGCTACAGAAGCAGAACTACCTATGATAATTGGCAGGTTAGCGATGATCTTTTTATTGTAAAAAAGTACATTGATCATATCTCTAAAGGAAAAACCCAATTCAGTAAAAAGAAGGAAGGTCTAAGGATGCAAGCAGTTTTAGATTGGCTCAAAACCAGGAAGTTTAAGACATATTTACTTTTTGTTGAGGTACCTTTAATTTAGTTTGAAAAGGCAAGTGGAAGGGATTCGTAAGCTGGTTCCACCGGAGACAGTGGGGAGTTGCCTTGGAACTGTGGCTGTAGATCCGTGCGAATAGATCCTCAGCGCACCGCCCTTCGACTCCGATGAATCTTTGCTGAGCTCTTGTCCGTCATGTGACAGACATCATCAGAGCAGGACACCATTCTTAACGATAATTCACCAAAAAAAACGAAGGCAAGAAAGGTGGCCGGCTTCAAACCTACCTACTTATTATAGTCCAATTTGGTTCAGTTATGGTTCTCATGTTTTGGTTGGATGTTCTATGCTTTGCATCTAAATTTACTCATAAATTAAGTTGAGTGACTGCAGATTACATGTGAAGTGGCTACATATGAAACATGAAATGGATGCAATTGAAACCGAACTGCTGCATCATCCCCTAAAATACTCATGCCTTTGATCCTGTAATGTTACCACATGTGATTGGTTCCAATTGTACACGTGTTGTGTGAGTGCATTGCTGTTCAAATGGGTACGATGTGAGAGTTAAAACCAAATTCCAGCCTAATCAAGCCTCTCCTCTTTCTG